TTTTTTTTTTTTTTTTTTGGTACATAGAAGGAGGCCAAAGGCCTAAGGACTAAGAGACTAGTATGCGACGTGGGAGACCCACTCCTCGTATATCATGATCGATCCATACATCCATTCCCGGGGGGGAGAGGGTAATCTTTGGAGTCCTAGCGTGGACAATGCCGCCATCTCCGCCAGATGGTCTGCCGCAGAGTTGGCCTCCCGATGTACGTGCTGAATACGAACTGTCCACTCCCGGTGCACTAGATCCCGAATGGCACTCACTAATGTCTCATGGGTCCCATAATGAGTTCGTGGGCCATGCCTAGTGGCACTCACTAACCATTTATAAACGGGTTGAGTCCAACGTGGCGGGTAGAACATTGGCCATGCCTAGTCACAAATTCTTGCGTTAAGTAGTCTAATTATTTTTCTGGTCAATCCGTTATGCTATATGAATAAAAACAAGTACTTAAATTAGCATATTTATAAAATAGGTTTGTCGACTGAATGGATTAAGATTAATCTAACAAAACAGTGATGATGTGTACATGTATGCAAATGGAGTATGAATATTTAAAACACAAATTCTTGAGAGTGTCTAACCTTTACTAGTCGACCCATCATACTTTTGGAACAAAAAAATATATTTATACTACAAAATGTCATCGATCACTCGGCCACTCCTCAAAAGATAACCCACCACGCTAGATGCATTCTATATATACACCACCATTCTCTACTCTTAGGCACAAACGCAAGTTCGATGCACTTGCATATCATACTTATTTGAATCATACAAATTCAGTCTTGTCATAAGTGGAAAAGAGTTACTACATCATGATATTAAGAATAATAACCTAATATCACTGTTCAGTCCAGTCACTCAACAATCTGAAAAGAAGGCAAGCTGGCATGCCTTGGATCCTCGCTCAAACAATGAAATTCTTTGAAGCGCTTTGAATGCTGCCTCGAAACCGTTTTCGGAAGTCGACGTTGATCTATCTTTCCGAGGTAATATTTCCATTCTCTGAAGTACTTGAGAATTCCTCAAAAGATAACGCACCAGGTCAAGTTCATGCTCTTCAAAACCTTGTTGCTTAATTGTTATAGTTTTTAGAGACGATTGTAGGCATTTAGGCACTTGTTTCGGCTCCATACAGGAATTATGAATTTCTACATCAGCCTGATGACAACAAAAAGAAGGAAGCTATTGAAGTAAGAAAAGGGAAACATCTAAAGACAAATTTCAATGGATTGGCAAACTCCACTTACAATAAGGACTTCAAGATTATCAGCAACTTCCAGAAACTTTACAAGCAAATGCCATTCAACACCCACTTGGAGTTCAAGTTTGGTTAGATTATTAAACTTTCCAATTGAACCAACAACTCTGTCAATAACCTGCAAAAGAAAAAATCAACTCAATTACAACAAGATGGCACGCTTTAACAGAGACTGAGACGACAGAAAAATCACAACATACCTTCAGGTATTCACAGCTTGATATCTTTAAGCACCTGATTTGACGCAAACGATTAAAAAACTTTATCAAATTGCATTTGCCCCTTTTTCGGTTACTAGGATTGAAAACATCGTTAAAGGTTTTGACCTCATTGTTTTCAGTCTCCCACGAATACCATTCTCTAAAGCAGATGTCCACCTTGACTAAGGAGGTCATATCTACTGGAAAGGTGATGCGCCCAAAATCACAATTACCCACACGGAGACATCTAACTGCAGGTCCATCTATTAAAATCCTATTGACCGGGACA